CTGGTGTCAGATTTGATATAATGCAAAGCTGAAAACAGCTGCTCACAAGCATAAAATGATCCAAACAAAGTAAGGAAAGCAATCCTTCTATCTTCTCAAGTGTTTCACACAGGTCATAGAATTTATTTTTCCAGATAGAGCTTTCTTAAAATTCCAATAGCTCCATTTCCACATTTCCTAAATCTAACCAGTGTAGGCAGGAAATATCAAGTCTAGAGCCTTAATGGAGGCCATTATTCAGCAGCAGCTTGTCCCACCAGGAAGAGGCCAGGAGGCGGGCTGGCGAAGGAGGTCCTGCCGAGGGAATGAACTATAAAAACGCGGAATGGATTTTCCATTAGAATCTCTAGACCCAAATTAGGGTTGCCAAGTGCTTTTTTTGCCACAGCGGGGGACTGCATAGAGTTTTCCCTCAGATGACCGTGGCCCATCTATCTATCTATCTATCTATCTATCTATCTATCTATCTATCTATCTATCTATCTATCTATCTATCTATCTATCTATCTATCTATCTACCGTGTTTCCCCGAAAATAAGACACTGTCTTATATTTATTTTTTCTCAAGAAGACACACTAGGGCTTATACCACAAATGCATAGAAATCCTGCTAGGGCTTATTTTTGGGGACGGTCTTATTTTCGGGGAAACAGGGTACACGCATTCCAAAAATATTTAAATGTAAAGTATTTCACTCTACAGTTTGCAAATCCAGTTGCACAGAACTTTCTCTACACCCACGGTCTCTCCTTCCACTCTGGGGAACTTCCAGGGACTTTCAATCTACCTTGGAGCCTGTCATTCCGTTCCTAGAATACTCCCAGGAGCTGTCATTCCACTTAGTGGTATCCCATTCCAGTTCCAGAACACTCCTGCCATATCTAGGGGCTGTCATTTGACTCTGGGGCTTGTCACTGCAGTCCCAGAATATCCCCGCTACTTGCAGGGACTATCATTCCACTTAGTGATCTCCCATTCCAGTTCCAGAACACTCCTATCACTCCCTAGGGCAGTCATTCCAGTCCAAGACCATTCCTGAAACTTCCAGGGGTTGTCATTCCACTCTGGGGCCTGTCATTCTAGTCACAGAACACTGCTGCTACACCCTGGGGCTGTCATTCCACTCCGTGGTCTCCCATACCATTCCCTGAACACTCCTGCTACCCCCAGGGGCTGTCATTCCCTTCCGTGGTCTCACATTTAAATATTTCTGGAATGTGTGTAGCTATCACCAGATCAGCTCAATCTCATCCCACTCTGGGGCCTCTCATCCCAGTTCCGGAACACTCCTGCTATACCCTGGGACTGTCATTCCACTCTGTGGTCTCTCACTCAAGTCCCAGAATAGTCCTGCTCCACCTGGGGCTGTCGTTCCACTCCATGGTCTCTCATTCCAGTCCCTGAACACTCCTGGTACACCCTGGGGTTGACATTCCACTCTGGGACCTGTCATTCCAGTCCCAGAACACTCCTGCTCCACCCTGGGGCTGTCATTCCACTCCATGGTCTCTCATCCCATTCCCAGAGTAGTCTATTTGGGCCCAGAGACCCTAATGGAAAATCCATTCTGCATTTTTATTGCAACTCTACTTGTACTGTAATGTATTTCAATGGAGTCCATGTAAGTCAATTGGCAACTTCAAGTGTTTCCCATTGTTTCCAATGGACAATCCTGTCCTTCCTTTTAGTACATCCCCAGCCAAGGGCAGACGGCAGCCCCCAGCAGGATGCCACCAGCCCCCCCCCGGCAAACAGAAAAGTCAGGAGAAAGAATAAGAACAGGCGCTTACCTGGTAGTTCCAGCAGCCAGGAACAAGCAGCAGAGCACAGGCAATAGCAAGCCCCCCTGACCCCCCTCCAAGCCCGAAGACCTCCTGCAACTCCCACAACGATATCCGTGTCTTCACCCACCCGCTCGCGCCCCCTAACCTTGAGTCCTGCATGCTGGAGGGAGGGGAGTGGTGGTGGGAAGGCAGCAGAGGTCAGGCTGCCCACCCCCCCTCCCAGGAACGAAGACGATGACGCTGGTGGAGGATGGGACAGAGGAGGAGAGGGACACTCGCTTGCAGGCTTGGAGGAGGCGAGGCGCTGGCCAGGCGGGGCTCAGGGCACAGAAAGGTGCACCCACTCGGGCAGGTGCTCCCTTTTGCAGGCTGGTGCTGGTGCTGGTGCTGCTCGTTGTGGTCAGCCGCCTTGGAGGAGAAGGGGAGTCACGGGGTGCAGCTGGCTTCTCTTCCTCTGCTGGCTCGATGTCTGCCTTGCATGGCCCCTGCCCTCCATTCAAACTGCCCAATCATGGGCCGCCCGGGCAGCTGGGGCAATGGAGCGCGTGCCCACAGAGAGGGCTCTGAGTGCCACCTCCGGCACGCGTGCCATAGGTTTGCCACCAGGGCTCTAGGTGATGCTGTTGGGAATGGACAGAGCAGGGGAATATGTTACACTGTGTTTTTTGTATAATATCCAAAGCTATTATTGTGCGAAGCTTGCAGAGTTCTCCAACCATTGAATCACATCATATAATCCTGCTGATGAAAACCAGTGTCTAAAATTATTGATCCCAGTTTAAACCCTTAAAGGACATCACCACGAGCTGTTAGATCACAAACTCTGCTTGATGTATAAACATCTAACCTAGATGAGGCTTGCTTGAGTATTATCACAAGCACATGTGCAAACACACACAAATATTGTGCTTGTACACATAGGCAATAATCTCTGCTATTTTTTAAATGTAACTAGTTGCTATTGTTAATAGTTCTGTGTGCTTAGCAATTAAAGGATAATTATGAATGAATTATATATAGTAGTTGCCTTAACACAGATGATCACTTTCTAATCATTCACTCACAGACTGTATGACTGGCATTCAAATTATGAAGCACACATTTTTGGCAGACACAATTGGAACAAATCAGAAGCAAATAAAATGATGCAAGGACCAATTGCCACATTGTTTATGAACCCTTTGGTTCATAAAAACTGAATCCCTATTCAGGCCTTCACAGAACTCATGTAGCCAATGCATTTTGGGGGAGGAAGATTGTAGTGTCTCCACACACTGATAGACTCAGTGGGTAAACTGCCTTTACATGTGATCTCCATATATGAGGATGGGAACCTTACAAATACACAAGACCGTTTACAGGTAACAGGAACCCTCCTGTCAACTTATGATGCTGAAATTATTCAACATCTGTTTACTTTATTGGGTAGTTAGGACATAGTTATGGCCAGAGGTCATTTCGGGGAGGAACGCGGGGGAACACAGTTCCCCCGGGTGAGGTGCAGGGGGGCGGGGCACATGACGAAGCCCCACCCCCTGCTTCCGGCCGCCCCGCTTCCAGCCCTCATTCAGCCAGGAGGAGGCAGGAGAAGAGGGAGGGTAAGTTGCTTCCTCCCCGCCTCTCCCCACCCCTGCCTGCCTGGGGCCAGGGAGGGCCTTGGCGGGGCTTCCTCGCACTCCCGCTGGCCTTGCAGGTCCACCTCCGGGCCCCTGATGTCAGGGGGTGTGGCATATGCTAATGAGTTATGCTAATGAGTTCCCCTAGCTCTTTTTCTACGAAATGACCCCTGGTTATGGCGATGTGTATGATATCCTTTATTAAAAGAAGGGCTGTGGTATCTTAGTCCTCATGGGAATCTTGGGACATGACAGTCTCAGTCTCTTCTTTTAAATGCCTTTAAATTCAAAAATAACCTAGAGCAGGGGTTCCCAATGTTGTGCCTGGTGTTAGTCAAGTGTTGTTGAGAAAGTGGTCAGGGCCAAGTGGGCCTTTTGCCCAGCAAAGCTTCTGATTAGACATTGGATATTTGATTGGCTGTGCAGGTTTTTTTAATGTTGCTTTGATAGCAGCTGCCTCCATAGCTCATCGATCTTCACTATGTGACTAAAGGTAAGTGGCAGCAGCTATTTTGTGTCTGACCATGCTGTGTCAGAATTGCAGAGGTGGCCACAGGCTCAACAAAGTTGGGGACCTATGACCTAGAGGTTGTGCACATTCACAAAAATGTGAATATTAACTGTATACCTGAAAGTAGGAAACTATTGAAGGGATCCAGCATACTGTATTTTGCTTTCCTTGGGCATGTAATGATTTTCAGAGTGATACACTATCAGGACTGTGCCTGGAAGGGAAAATCAACCACCAGGCACTCTGAAAATATTTAGTCACCACATTGTGACTATTATTATTATTATCATAGTACATACCTATGGATAGACACACACAAAAGATGGAGTGCTGGTTTGTTCTGCAGTGTCCTGTTTGCAAGCACACCACCAAGTTCTGCATGCAGACAGACAAATTCCATAACTGTGAAATCACAAAGATGGCTGCCTCTTAGCATTCCTATTTCATACAATATCTCCTTCTCACCCATGGTCATATATTCATGTACACAATGTGACGTCATGACGCCGGGCACGCTGGGGGCGGGGCCACAGCCATTTGAGGGGAAAACATAGAGTTTTCCCCTCAAATGGCTGTGTCTCCGCCCCCAGTTCGTCATGTCACTTCCGGCTGACGTGCACGTGGGGGTGGGGTTCCCCCGGGGCCCGATCCGCTAGCGGAGGGGAACGGACCTCTGGAGCGGGGGTTTCCCCGCCCCCTGGGGGGACTTGGCAAGCCTACATGTACATGATAGCATGGAAGAATTTATATGAGAACTAAGCATAAGGAGAACATTTTGGTTCCAATGACTTCCTTCTGCTAAGCTGGCTCTGATTACTTTCTTCTGCTAAGACTTTCTCCAATGGAGAAGGAGTTCATACAGTGTGGGAAACTCTCTGCTGAAGGAAGCTTTAACAGGAGGGAGTAATTAGATCCAGCCTCTGGATTGTTTATGGGATTATGACTTTTAAAATTCAGTTTTTACATTTCGGGTACATTTTCAGGACGTGAACCGTATTGCCTTAATGAATAAGAGATTTATGTACGAAAAAGTCCAGTATTGCACTATATAATCTATTTCAATAACTCTTTTTGGATTGTGTCTTTCAGAAAACATGCTGGAGAATGTTCACCTTCAGTAGCAAGTATATATAATTATGAACAGTTATTTCCTTTCTTCTTCTTTAAATAACAAGCCCACAGTTACCATCTTCATTCTTTGGTAATTATATTTTCTAATAGTAAAAACTGTCTTGTTATTTACTTGTGTGGTTCCAGAGAAATTTAAAGCATTTGTGTTCTAAGATAAATTACCATATCCATTTCAAAAAATCAAGTTTTACAAACATTGTGGGCTGCTCCCTATAATAAGTCTACAGTATTGTAGCATTTATATGAAATTCTCATGTGCACTATTGAATGGGGAGTAGGGAGCAAGAATACAGCCATACTGACATTTCCTGATTAAAAATAATGAGTTTTAGTGCAGGATTGCAGCAGTGCAATTCTAAACAGAATGACAGCCTTCTAATCCTATTGATTTCAATGGACTTAGAAAAATGTAACTGTGTTTAGGATTGCATGGCAGGAGTACTCATAAAATGACAGAAAATAGCTGTACAGATTGAGCCAGGGTAGCCTGTTCACCCCTTTGAAAACTATTTGACTAAATGAACACTCTTACACTAAAACAAATTTAGAGTCCAGTGGCACCTTTAAGACCAACACATTTTTATTCAAGGTATGAGCTTTCGTGTGCATGCACACTTTGTCAAATACGCTGGAATGGCAGGTAAGGTTCAGACTTATAGACACAGGCTGAACAGCAAATTAACATGTAACATGATGAAGATGTTTTAAGATATGTGAAGACAAAACTAAATAACAAGCTAAGGTTATATGGTCAACAGTTATAAAGCAATAAATATTTCAAAATAAGACTGAAACTCTCCATTCACTCCTCTCAGGCATGGAGGTCACTTAACAGCATTTTTTTCTTTTTTGAGGTGGGTGCAGTGTTACATCAGCCAAACATTCCAATATCCCTTGTATTACATTCAGTATTCTAATATACTGTTCTGAAAAAGAAATACACTAAAATACAGAGGATGTATAGTCCCTCTGTATGAGAATATATATGTGAGGACTGAATGAGTTAACATATGTAATGAGATAAGAAACCAATATCCCTGTTGAGTCCTGGGGAGGTTTTTGTTCCAAGTGTTGTAATAACTTGTAATTCAGCAATTTCCCTTTCCATTCTGTTCCTGAAGTTCCTTTGTAATAAAACAGCTACTTTGAGGTCACCCATTGAATGTCCTGGAAGGCTGAAGTGTTCTCCTAAAGGTTTCTCAATCTTGTGATTCCTGATGTCAGATTTGTGTCCATTTATTCTCTGGTGTAGGGTTTGTCCTGTTTGTCCTATGTAGAGAACCGAAGGGCATTGCTGACATTTAATGGCATATCCAGTGTTAGAAGATGAGCAAGTGAATGAGACTCTGATGGTGTAGTTGATGTTGTTAGGTCCAGTGATTGTGTTGTCTGGGTGTATGTGGCAGCAAAGTTGGTCTCTGAGTTTATTGCAAGCTCTGGTCCCAGTGACCATGTTCAAATTAGATGTTGCATTATTGTGGGTGAGGAGTTGTTTGAGACAGTAGAAAAGTAGCAGTAGAAAAGAGCAAAAGTCCAGTAGCACCTTAAAGACTAACAAAATTTGTGGTAGAGTATGAGCTTTCATGAGCCTTATGAGGGGTATGCAAATAGTGATATGCCAATCCCCAGGTGGGGGTTGGAGATCCCTCAGTTTGGTGGGCTACTGCCAGCCGCTGGCCAGCTAGCTGGTGGGGAAGCCCTGCCCCTAAGCCCTGCCTCCAACAGCAGCAGCCACCCCTCTCCCTCCCCTCCTGCAAAATTTAAAGGGCCCTTCAGCTGATTAGTGGGAGCATGTGGGTCACTGACCAGCTGGAGGGCACTTTAAATCTTGCAGGACGGGAGGGAGAGGGCCGACCACACACCTGAACTCTTAGCCGCTTGGAGTTCAGCCCCCCCTCTTGCCCAAAGCATTTAAAGTTACCATTTGTATGCTTTGGGAAAGAAGGGGTGTGTACACACCTGAACTCCAAGCGGTGAATTCACCGCTTCGAGTTCAGACGCACGGGACTCCGGTCCCCAACATGATGACATCACTTTTGCGTGATATCATTGCATTGGGGACATCTCCGCCCCCTCCAGAAACACCCCCAAAATTTAGGAAGGACCTGGCAACCCTACCTGGAAATGGGATGTGACATGACCAACAGGCTGTACACCTACTCTTGGCACTGCCTAATCTAGGGTTGCTAACTCCAGCCTGGGAAATTCCTAGAGATTTCAGGGTAGACCCTCTGGAGGGGGGAATCTGTGGTATAGCTTTGAAGCTGCCATTTTCTCCAAGGGGAGTTAGTTAGTTAGGCCTCGATCACACACAGAAGTTGCCACGGGATACTCACAGATGCCAGCTGGGTTTTATGGACATGATCAAATAGGAACATCTGGCAGACGTCACGCACCCATTGCCAACCCATCGCATCTGGCTAAAGATCCGGCGTTAAAAGGTACCAGAGAAAGTCCACTATTTAATGCTTGCGATGGGCCGCAGATGGACATCCTTCGTCTGATCGCTCCAGTGAGCTCCCCTCGCTGCATTGAAGCACGCCAGAAATGCACGCTGATGAAACGAAACCTCGATTCCCCACCGTCACGCCTGATGGTGTTCTGGCGGGTCAGAGTGTACCGGCACAAAAATCCACCCCCCCCCATGTTATCTGGCCCATGTAACCGGGGCCTTAGTTTATTAATGCGGTCTTGAGACCAACATACAGAGGTAAGCATAAAACAGTCACAATATACAAAATACAAAAAATAGAAATCTGAATTTAAGAACTTTTAAAATGTGATTCCTGCAGTCTAAGAATTAATGCACATAACTCAGCAACTGAACGTGTAATTTCTGTATTCTTATCTGATAGGAGCCAGTGAAGCCTCTCCAAGGGGAGTGATCTTGGTAGTCTGGAAATCAGTCATAATTCCAGGAGAACTCCAGATCCCACCTGGAGGTTGGCAACTGTATCCTAATTCCTTTCAATATATAATGCTGAAATGCTTAAGAAGAATGACTGTAACATAAGCATACTTGGATGGGAGAAAATCCCACTGAACTCAATGGGATTTACTTCTGAGTACAGGTGCTATCCTAAAAACTCTTTTCTGAAAGCCCTATGGAATAAAGTAGGGCTTACTTTTCAGTAGATGTGCTTGGATTGCATAAATGTAAATTAGTTTGTTGTGTTAGCTATCCATAAAATGGTGGAAAGGAGAATGATGTGAGCTGCTTGGGTCCTCCCTGGGGACAAAGATGGGGTATAAATAAAGTAAATAAATAAATATGAACTAGTAGTGGTGAAAACAACACTGGAAAGGGACAAATGCAGACACATTAAAATATTACCAGTAAAGTACTATGAATGACACATTTGATATTTATAATATGGTTTCATAATGAGCCTTAAATGGCATGTGTACAGTGTGCTCAGCTCTGTATTGATTTTTGTGTTGCTACTTTTTAATTATTTGCATGAATGTATTCTGATATATTTTCATTGTTTTGTTTCAACGAAGCGCATATCTACTACAAGTACAGGCGAAACATGATGGTTATTTGAGTGCTGCGCTTGCGGACCTGAAAAGAATTAAAACCTGTTCTAAGGTAAGGTGACAAAATAGTAATGGTTAGGTAGGAAAATGTGAACAGAGTGTTCAAAACAGAATGAAAAAGTGGTAACAAGGAAGGGAAATAGAAATTCTTTATGCTAAGACCTCTATAATAAAAAAACAAAAAGAAAGATGAATCCAGTGCAAACATTTTTCTTTTTTTTATAATTATTTGAAATGTCAACAGTGATTGCTTTTAAAAACCTGCCATTGGTTAAGAGTAAGGATGGGCAAAAACCAAATTATGAACCAAAATTCATCACAAACTGGGCCCAGTTCGTGGTTTGTAAACCTTAGTTTGTGCCATCCTGCCTCACGAGCCTCCCACAAACCTCCCAGGTGGGTTTGTGTGGTTCATGTCAGCAGACTCATGAACCATGAACCGGGACGAACCTCCATTTCCCCAGTTTGTGTACATCCCTAGTTAAGAGCATATGGTGTGTTAAAAATTCTTTATATAGCAGCTATACCTTTGAACAGTAATGCTTGTAGTAAAACCTCAGATGGGTAGCCATATTGGTCTGAAGCAGTGAACAAAGTTTGAGTCCAGGTACACCTATAAGACCCACAAAGTTTTATTCAAAGTGTAAGCTTTCATGTGCAAAGCACACTTCTTTAGATAAATGGCTTCAGACGAACATGGCTACTCACCTGAATTTTTCTTCATGGAAGGGACTACATTAAGCCGCATGGAATGAAACTCTTATCAACCTAACAAACCATTTGTCTGAAGACGTGTGCTTTGCACATGAAAGCCAAACTTTCAATACAACTTTGGTCCCGGTCACACGAGCGGGATACTGCGCTGCTGAAGGGAGGCAAATTAGAGCCGGAGCAAAAAAACCCGTGGTACCACAATCTGATGCACCCCCATGGCTCCATGCTCCGGCCTTCAGCAGGCGATCAGACATAGTGCAGCAAAATGGACGTTGCGCATTTGTGCACATGCGTGGGACGGGGAACGGTACTGGCTGCGACGGGCTACCAGCGCTTTCCCGATCAGACGCCTGGAGTGGCCGTGCATCATCCGGAAGGTAGTGCTCTGTTGCCAGTACCTTTTCAATGCGTATTTTTGGGCCGAAGGGACGGATCGGGGACAGGTGCATGACGCTTCCCAGATGTTGCGGTATGATTGCCCATTTGATGCACCCTCAACCCATCCGTTTCGTGGGGCAAATCCTCCCGTTACAGGCTCTCTCTCTCTCTCTCTCTCTCTCTCTCTCTCTCTCTCTCTCTCTCTCTCTCTCTCTCCACTTCTGCATTGTTTTTTCCCTCCCTTCTTTTAGTTTTTGGATTAAAGAGAGAAAAGCCATGTTGAACAGTGATAAATTGTCTGCCAGTAGGGGGGGAAATCAGAAAACATTTAGGCTTCCCAGTTTTACTGGAATTTAACTTCGAATTTTCTAATTCCAAAGCAACAACCCCTGACATCACCGGAAGTGTGTCAGAAGGCCCGGCTACTTACCCTCCTGCTTCATCCTCATTCCCAAACGGAATGAGGATCGAAGCAGAGGGCGGGGTAAAGAAGGGGGCGGGGCTTCACCACATGACCGCCCCGCCCCCTAGAGGTTCTCTTCCGGAGCTCCGTACCTGAGAGCTCCCCCCCGACTAGAGCCCTGCTCATACACATAATTGCCATTAAGTGAAAAAATAGCAAACAATTCACTTTGAAATCCATATGCAAATCCCTTCCAAAATAAGTGATTTTTTATAATCTTCTTTTAGCATTAAATAATGCCACCAAAATAAAAATCAGGTGATAGCATGATTTCATTAAGCTGAATTTAAAAAGATGGGCAATCACTTGGAAATAAATATACCCTTTCCCAGTCATTATGGTCATGTGTACTGAGAGCCCAGCAATCGTGTGTAATGTGAGACCATGCATGGGACATGTGATCTCCCCAATATATGCGGTTGCCATTTTATCGAAAGGGGAAACCCAGAGTTCTGGTTCAGTATACTGAAACTGAAAGTCCGCATGTCGCCCATTTCAGACAAAATGGTGATCATGCGTATCAAGAGGATCCCATGTAGCACATGCTCATGGTATGTGTGGTAAAATGTAATGACTGAAAAGAGCTTATATTATAGCCAGAACTTTGGAGCCAAGTCTACATAAGAAAGACATTATCCCCCCTAGTAGTAGGATCATTAATCAGTTAATCAGAAAGTCATTTTTATGGATCTTTAAAATATTATTTTAATCCTTTAAAATTTTACTCCTACTGAAGTGAAAGAACATAATCACTTTGTCTGAATGCATAATTCAGTATTGAAAAGATCCAGTACACATTGCAGGACAGATACATTGAAAAACTGCTTGACTTTGGTCTCCAAATTTCATATTAATATCAGTAGCTACTATACCATACCTGTCAGATGTCAAAATGTGCTGTATGTACTTTTAAAGTGAATCCTAATTTGGCCCCTTAGAACAATGACCTAGCTGGGGGGGGGGAGAGAAGTATTATCACTTAGTTCTGGAACGGTTGCTTACATAGCCAATTCTTTTGCATTTTAGATTGATGCCTTTTTATATACTGCAGAAATGACTGATCGTGTAAGTTCTTTTCTTTTTTTCCTGTTTATAAAACTATATTGTGTTACACCTACAGCCTTTAGTTCAATCAGTCGTTTGAGCAAATATGAATATAAACTATAGATAGGCTTGGTGTGAATTCTTAAATATTAACAGATTAACTGTGATGTAAACTACAGGCCACTTTATTGAATGCAATACATTGCCTTTTACTTCTGTCTCTACAGTGCATTTAAGCATAACTAGTGTATGGTTCCCTCCCATCAATCAAACTGTTACACTGTAGGGCCTGCTCCGCCTTGAAAACTAGACCTTTCATATTCCTAGATCCCCATTTGGGCTGGAGCTATTTTAAGATTTCCTGTGACCAAAGCTCCCTCTAAATTGTGGAGTCTTGTGAGCAAAAATTCTACTTTACAAGCTGCTGGCATTAAAGCTGTGAGTGAGCGATTTGGCTACGGCATAAATGAGTTTGCTCTGGAGCCGTCCTTCCTGAGCTGAGACAAAAACGTGTGAGCCAGAGGCTAAAAAACTGTGAGCTAGCTCACCCTAACTCAGTTTAGAGGGAACACTGCCTGTGACCCCTTAACCAAGAAGACAAGGCTTAAAACCCTGTAGTTGAGAAATTGTGTCCTGTGGTATTTAATTTCTGATTTAATCTGTAATTAAAGTACCATGTGAGTCCTCTACAAAGGTGCCTAATGACTGGAGAATAGGAATGTTTTAGTTGTCTCAAAAATAAAACAGGAGGCATATTGTCCCAGTGTCTTGATATTTCATTCATCTTTGCATTTCAAATCTGAATCTAACACTACAAGTTTCTCTACAAGTTTCAGCATCCAATGTCATATGACCACATATATTACTCTTTGTTGAGTTCATAATTCCGTATATAGTCAATCTAGAGAGAATGAATGTGTGAATGTATCATAAAATTGTTGGGCACAATTTATTGAGAAACTAATAGGCTTCTTACATATCTATGCTATATTGGTACTTACCCTACTCAGAATCCTAAACCAATACGCCAATATTCCGTATGTCCTAATTTTAATCCAACACTGGGCCAGATTTGCCAGGCCCTGATGGAGTGAAGATTTATTTTTCACTATGAAGTCACACACTCTCAGCCTAACCTACCTCACAGGGGTGTTGTGAGAATAAAACGGAGAAGAGAATGATGCAAGCTGCTTTGCGGCACCTTTGGAGAGAAAGTTAAATAAATAAATAAATAAAATCAGTGCCCAGCGGCAAATTCTGAGAGTGTGTGGTCACCCTTTTCAGGTTCAGTGATAATAAAAGTTGTTACTGGCCACGGCTCAGTAGAGGGGGTGATGGTGCCTGGGTTCACATATCACATATGTACATCCAAAATCCTCTTCTGGCAAGATCACTAGCATGGGAAAGGAATGTAATGTTCAAGCTTAACCTTCCTGTTTTCATATGGTAAGGCTTCTGACATTTTTTTCCTAGAGTGAATGTAAAGCATCAGTGATGAACTGCTTTATCCTCGAAATGGAAGTAATTTGGTATGAATCTAAGTACATAAGGGATACGACATTCAGCAATACTGTACTTAATGTGCTGAAAACTGTCCGCGAACATTCGCTTGTCAAAAATCAGGTAAGTGACATATAGGGGAAAATACATGTTGCACTGTTTTCAGTTGTGTACACACCTCTTGAGGCCAAGAAACCTCAATTAATATCTTTCTCTATAAGATCTCTGTCTCTCCTTCTAAGAAACAATAACATTATTTGAAGGAGCAAATAAATACTTATTGGTCCTTGTGCCTCACAAGTTTGCAAAAGTGGAAGAGCTGCTTCAATGGAGTAAAGGAGTGCCTTTTTACTCATAGCACTCTCTCTCCTTAGAATTTAAGACTCCTTTCCCCGTTATGAATCACTTTTTCCTTCCTTTTTACTAAAAAACACTAGTATGAAAATTATATATACAATCCATAATTTGATCTTTTGGGTGACCCAGTCTAACAACATCACTCACAATTCGGTCCACAGCATGGATAGATTCTGGGCCCACTGCAGATTAAACTCTCCTAACAAAGCAATTATGGCCTTGGGGTATGTTTATTTTATCTAGAGACAGCTGTGGCTGTAATTGAATTTATGGGAAGCCAGAGGTCATTTAGTAGAAACAGAGGTGCAGGAGCTCATTAGCATAACTTATTAGCATAACTTATTTGCATATGCCACACCCCCTGACATCACCGGAATTGTGTCAGAAGGCAACACCCACTACTCAGGCTCCACTGGACTGTTTTGGATTGCTAGCTATTGGGGGGGATGTGCAGATCTGTCCTCAAAGAGGAGGGAGAGCTTGTACCTGAATAAAACTTGGTTTTAAAGGTGCCACTGGACTGTTTTGGACGGGGGGGACTGGGGAGGGGGCTCTGCAATTTACCTGGCTGCTTCTTGCTCTGACTCAGGGCTGCTGGGAGCAGGGGGTGGGGCTTGTTGCATGTGCCCGCCCCCTGGGTTCTTTACTGCTAGCGCTCCGCTCCTGTGCGCAGGGCTGGCCCAATGGGGTTTCTGCGCCCTAGGCCAGGCTGCCTTGTGGCACCCCCCTCAGATGCCAAACTCCTGGTGGGGCCTGGAGACCTCCCAGCTGGGTCCCAGCACCAGGGCCGGCTGACTGTGGGGGGGAGAGAAGGAGAGATGGTGGCGAAAGTGCTCCAAGTTGTTCAGGAGGGTTTCCCGGGGGGGTGGTGTCCCAGGGCGGGGGGGCTTTGCAGTGGGTAAGAAGAGTGCGCACACCTTCCATTCTCTAATGCCTTTGCTGATGATGCTCTGCTGCTGCTGCTGGTGGTCTCTTCTGCAGGTGGAGTGTCGCCCCATCCCCACCGGCTCCTTCTTGCAATAGTGGAAGCAGCACGGTGGGACTGAGGCAGTATGGGAGGGCGGTGGGGGGCAGCGGCGTGGCAGGAGGAAGGATAGCACGCACAGCCCTGCCAGAGCGGTGGGCGGGAAGCCCGGGGCAGGAACAAAAAGGCGCCTGGCTCGTGCGGCTGGTGGGAGGACCCACAGTGCCCGGGGGTGAGGTCAGGCAAGACTCCTACAGCAGGCTGGCTGGGGGCATGGAGTTTGTTTGCGGTCGGGTCGGCGGAGCTTGACTGGGGGGGTGGCGGCAGCGATTTCTGCCTGATGAGCGGGCGGGAGCGAAAACCCAGTCCTCAGCCCAGCGAATGCAAAGGGGGGGACCTTGGGGTGGAGGTGGTGGCAAGCATGCGCAACTCCACTTTTGAGCTGCCCTGCCGCTGGACCCTTCAGGAGGCGTCCCCGCCTACTCCCCACCCTGCAGGCCACCTGTGCGGCAGGGAGGGAGCGCTTCCTCCCTTCCCCTCCCAACTCCTGATGGAGCGGCGGAGGAGGAGGAGGCAGAGGCAAAGTGAGGTGGTGGTAAGGGGCACCCAGCGGGCACCCAGAAGACAATGCTGGGGTTGGGCGGGTGGCGGTGAAAGGGGCCTCCCGGCGCCCCTAGGGGAGCTGTGCTCTAGGCCAGGTACTAGTCAGCCTAGTGGGCGGGCCGGCCCTGCCTGTGCGCTCCTGCAGGAAATGACCCCTGGAAGCCACCAAAAAGGCAAAATGAAAAGTCAGCCTTCTCGGCTTCCGGTCGAGCTAAGATGGAGGGTTGACGCATCCCGAAACCGCTCGGGGTGAGCAACGGCTTCTTTTGATAGTTTGGGTTGTTTACAGCCCAACGTAGCACCTCTCCGCACTGGGGGGAGACAAGAATGCAGCAGAGCCCAAGCAGAAATCGAGATCGGAGTGATTACGTCCCGGAGGGGGCATAATTCACTCCTTGAACTCCTTCTACGAAGCGGGTGAAAAGCAGAGCATCTCTACAGAAGCCGATCGAGCTGGTGACCCAGCATAAATTCTCCGTCAGCCGATCTCTTGGGAAAGAAGGACTGTGAGTTGGTTAAAAGAAGCAATGCGTACCCTAGTTTAAACGTGCTAGATAACAAACCACAGCGCTTACCGTATCGTGGAGTAAAAACATCTAAGCTTAACGGTTAAGCGGACAGTGAAATAAATCCTGATGGTGTGATTCCGGAGGAAAAAAGTTGGGATTAAAGCCTTTAAAAACGCAAAAAAATAACATTGTTTTACATTCCTGTGGTGAGCAAAAGCGAAAGTGACGAAAGCTATCGCGAGCACTGTATGCCTGTTGTCACTTTGAAAAGCATCCGACAGGAAGAGGACCATCGAAACGTCGCATAGAGAGGCCCTGGCGGACTGCGGGAGAACCGGAAGAAGATTGGGCATACCAAAAGAGGCACCGGAAATACGAAGAACCTGATAGACGGAACGAAATCTACAGGAAGTTGCCTTCTCTATCCAAAAAAATCATAGAGAAGTTGCACCCGGCATTTTGAGGAGGACCCGAACTTTAAAGTGCTTTTTTGGCGTTAAAATAAAAGGAATAAAGGGCGGAAAAATGAAGATCTGTTTAAGCACATCTAGTTGCTAAATCTAACTGACTGAGCTGTGATCTTAAGCCTGTCAGATTAAACGTCAAGACGGAGAGGAAGAAGTGGAAAATTGATATTTTTTTGAGACCAAGAGCGGCTTCGGCTTCAAGCCCAAAGATGGCATCTAAAGAAAAGGAGAAGGAGAAGGAGAACAAGAAGGAGAAGGAGAAGGAAAAAAGAGAGAAAAAAGACTTGCAACTTGCAATAGAAGCGATGGAGAAGAGAATGACAGAGGCAATACAGGCTCTAGGAAAACAACTAGAGAAACAGATGGAAAAGCAAACACAGAGACATTTAGAGCAATTGGAAGAAGTCCAGGAGAAACATGTGACTGCAATCAAGGAGTTGGTGACAGCGGAGATAGCTTTGGTCAAGCAAGAGATGGATGAGCTCAAACAGGAAGTTCAAGGAGTGGCAACAAAATCAACTGAAATGGAAGACAAGATACAACTTTTGGACAAGACACAGGAGACAATGACTCAACAAATCAGACAATCTGAAGCAATGACCGAATATAGACGGATGCAAAACCATTTAAGATTCAGAGGAATAGAAGAGAAGTTGGATGAAGATATAAGAGAGGTCATGCGTAAATCGTTGACTGAATACTTGGAAGAAGATGATGGTGATATGGACCATGAATTTGATTTGATATTTAGAGTGAATTCGAGAATTGCAGAGAAGAGAAACTTGCCGAGAGACGTGATAGTACAATTCACAACCAGGAGAACAACAGAAGACATCTTCAAGAAACAGTTTACACACCCGTTTGAAATTGGAGGAATGAAAATCATGATACTAAGAGAACTTCCCAGAACAATTCTTCAGGACAGAAGAAAATATAAGACCTTAGCGGACAAATTGAAAAATATGAACATCAGATTTCGGTGGGAAATACCTCAAGGGCCTTCCTTCAACTACAAAGGTGGGAGACATGTCATCAAAACCATGGAAGATTTTTATAGGTTTAGAGGGGACAATTTAGAAGACTTTGGTGACTTATAAAATAAAATAAAAATACGCAATGGAGTACAAGCTTTTATCTTGGAATGTTAATGGACTAAACTCATCCAACAAAAGAAATAGAATTAAACATTGGATTCGAAAACAGAAATGTAACTTGATTTGTCTACAGGAAACCCATATTAAAAAGCAAGATGCTAAATATCTGATAAACAAAATGTTGGGAGAAGACTTTTACCCTCTGGCCAGCAATAAGAAAAAAGGAGTAGTTATTTACGCAAAGAAAAAGTTGCAACCAAAAGAAATTTTTACTGATTCTGAAGGAAGATTTGTAGCTGTGGAGGTTTTAATTCACCAAAAGAAAACTTTGATTGTTAACGTGTATGCCCCAAATGGAGCTAAGGAAATTTTTTTTAAAAGATTTACTAGAACAACTACTGCGGTTAAGTTATGAACACCTAATAATGGCTGGAGACTTCAATGGTACAGTAGAGAACAAAATGGACAGACAGTCAGTAAGGGGAGATGAAAAGAGTGGGAAACTACCAAACATCTTTTTTGAATTAGTAAAACAAGAAAAGCTTCAAGACGTTTGGAGAAAATGGAATCAAAGTGTTAAAGACTTTACCTTCTACTCAGATCGACATAGCTCTTTTTCCAGGATTGACATGATATGGACGACGGAAGAATTGGCATTAAATACACAAAAAATTGAAATTTTGCCAAGGTGTAATTCTGACCACAACCCGCTTTTGTGGAGTACAAAAGAAAAGAACAAAAACTTTTTATGGAGAATCAATGAAGACCTGTTGGACAGGAAAACTGTAGTGGAGTTGTTAAAAGAGGAGACAAAAGTCTTTTTCCAACAGAATTTAAATCAAGGCACATCAACGCAAGTGGTCTGGGATGCCTACAAAGCGGTGATGAGAGGAATCCTAATTTCACAGAATGTGAGACAGAAAAAGGAGAACTTTAAGAAGCAAACGGAAGTATTAAACAAAATATCACAAAAAGAGAGCGAACTTAAGAAGAAATCTGGAAAGAAGAAAATTGTAAAGGAACTTCAATTGTTGAGGGAACAACTAAATGTAAGAATCTCAAAATTTAACTGGGGAGGCAGAAAACCTAAAATTAAGATGAAAATTCTGTGTGATGCTAAAGAAAGAGGGGGGCTGCAATTACCAAATCTGCGATTGTATTATGAAGCAGTTTGTATAGCATGGTTAGAGAAATGGGTCAACTTGAAGGATCAAAAACTGCTACTTTAGAAGGGCATGACTGCAGATTTGGTTGGCATGCATATTTATGGTATGAAAAAGTAAGATGGATAACTTTTTTAGACATCACTTTGTGAGAAATGCCTTATTTACAACTTGGTTGAGATATAAAAGTGTTTTTTTTTGACGAGAGACCTTTACGGATAGTACCAGCAGAAGTATTATCGTCATACACAAGACAAAGTTGTCAAGAATGGTTGCCATACAAAGACTTAATAAAAAAGAGGGAACAGAATGGGTAATGAAAGAGCAGAATGAGATACACTACAAATATGTATGGTTGAGTTATTTACAGATTTATGATTTGTTTAAGGCAGATAAGAAAAAATATGGTTTTAGAGAGAAAAAAAATGAAATTGAAACTGTCTGGGAGGGAGGAGGGAAAAAGGTGATTTCTACCATATACATAATTTTGTTAAAATGGTATACAGAAGATGAAATGGTGAAAGAGCAAATGCTTAAATGGGCAGTTAATGTGAACTGTGGCGCAGGCAGTTAAACATCACCGAGCAGCCACTATGGCTGTTCGAGTACCACCGTGGTCGAGGTGAGCTCTCGACCTTCGCTCCAGCTCCCGCCTACCCAGCGGTCTCGAAAGCAACCTAATTGCAAGTAGGTAAATGGGTACCCACCCTTAGAGGGGTGGGGGGCACCCTGTGTGGCTGGCTGAAGACGGCGGCGATGGCGGCAATGGCGGTGACGATGACGGCGGCGGCAAACCTGGCGCGGACGGCAATGGTGGCGAAAAGACGACGGGGTGTGCGCAGATGCCGAGCACCAGCCCAGCGGAGCCGGAAAGGACATAGCCGGGCCGGAAGCAAGCGAAGCGGCGCGTCTAGGAGAAGAGCACACCACCACCAAGTCCAGAGTCCCGTCCGACCGAACCGAGCCGACCTGACCCGACGGACAACATCACGACAAGCCACCACAGAGGGGGTGCTGGTAGGCTGTCCCATCCCCTTACATACATTGTGGCCGTAGTTAGGGACAAATGGTGATTAGCACCAGAAAAACTTGTAAGCCGCTCAGAGACCCCAACTATGGGATTAGAGCGGGATATTAAATTGAAAGTATAAATAAATAAATAAATACTGAGATAACTATGGACTCATGGGAATATCTGTGGAAGAACTCGATTAAAATCTCAACCTGTACTAATGTAAAGGAGAACTGTTATAAAATGATGTACAGGTGGTATATGACGCCAAAGAAAATAGCTAATATGAATCAAAATTTTTCTAATAAGTGTTGGAAATGTAGAAAACATGAAGGTTCATTTTATCATATGTGGTGGTCTTGCGAAAAAGCTGTAGACTTTTGGACAAAGGTCCACAATGAAATGCAAGAGATACTGAAATGTTCCTTCAAGAAGGCACCAGAAATTCTGCTCTTAGGACTTAAAATAGAAGAACTGAATGTAAACAAAAGGACTATGTTTTGGTATATGATTACAACTGCGAGAATGCTATATGCACAATGTTGGAAACAGGAAAGAATTCCAGAAATAGAAGAATGGATACAGAAAATTCTGTTCATGGCAGAAATGGACAAAATCACAAAGAAACTGAATGGTAAAGAAGATCAAGAATTCTATGAAGAATGGAAAGACTTTAAAACTTATTTGGAGAAGAACTGGGATGTGAAACACAATTTACTATGTTTGGAACAATATTGAAACTAAATATTGTTATCTTAAGATGTACTGGAGGGATGAGAGGGGAAACATTGCGGGAAGCCACTAGGAGGGGGGGAAGAAAATGGGAATATAAGCATGGGTTTATAAATGAATTTGAATTTGAATTGATGACTTGTTATATTTCCATGAAAAAATAAAAAACCTTTTACAAAAAAGAAAAGAAAAGTCAGCCTTCTCCAATTTTCAGATTTTTTTGGCCTATTATAAACTTGCTTAATCTGCTCCGCACAAATTAAGAACTGCATTGGTTATACCTGTCAGAGTTCTGTATGCCTTCTGAGGACCATTCATCAGCTGCTTGGCTTCAGCTGTTTTAAGAAGGGCTCCCCCTCTTCTCCATGGCTGCTGTATACTCCTCCCCATAACACTTTCCCTCTAGCCTGTTGAAACCAGGTCTCTGCAGCTGTCAGGTTTAAGATTTCATACCTTTCTGTCAGCAATCCCAGTGGAAAAATTATTTACCCCATAGAATGTGCTGAACATTGACTGTTTATAGGCCTGTAAACAATTGAGTGTTTTAACCTATATCGTATTTAGTCACATGGTTTTAACAACGCTAGACAATACACTGAGAGTTTCCTACATTTAAAAAATGCTGCTTATCACCCCTGAAGAGAGCTGATTTGGACTGGGACCATGCCAAAGTAGAGGTGCTTTACTTTCTTCTGCTGTGTGGTTTTGGAAATAAAAACCTGTGGTACACATCCTCACACCATAATGAGTTCTAAAAGGAAAAGAAAGATGGCTGTTTTTTGCCATCTTTCATTTTTAGGGCCAGTTATAATGTGGGGATCTTGGTTTCAATCTGTGAAGCTGCATAAGGGAACAAAGTTTTAAATCCCTTAACCCCTCCCTGCTTCCATTACATTTTAAAAACACTGGTTATTGATGTCCCAATATCTCATTCGGTTTAACCCTTAATATATCATAAATTGCTTTCTTGAACAAAGACTCTGAAAACTATTGATAGAATTTTAAAAGGGGTTTTTTTTGCGCATATTTTAAAGTAATTATAGCAAAAGTCTCTGTTAATGGGAATGATTTGCTTGTTCCAAATGGCACATTGCATATACCTCCTTGTTCCCTCTGTACTTTTTTGTGTTACTTAAAAATGCTAATGTGCTTTATTTTTCATTTTTGCAGAGCAACAAAACATCCACATGCCAAAAATGTGAAACTTTTGGAGAGAAAAAATGTACAGAATTTTTAAAAAGGTTTGAATATTTTATAAAACAATTGTATACTGAACTGGAATAAAAAACGCAAAAATCATAAAACAATGTCAAGAAAGCATAAAATGAAATTCTAGTGCAGCAGGAAGTACCCCGAAATGAAGAAATACAATGGGGACAAATTAAAATCAGTATTGGTGAGCAACGAGTTTGTGCATTTAATCTTGTGCATTTAATCTTCAGGATTTTTTCCCCGAAACAACATTTACAAAGCAGGAGTAATTCTATTATGGTACAAAAAGAGTTAAATATTTGTCCGTGTGTGTGTGTGTGTGTGAGAGAGAGAGAGAGAGAGAGAGAGAGAGAATGGTCAGTTCAAGCAATTTATATAGTAAGAGGTGTAATCAAAGTAATTAATAACAATTGAGATACTGTTACTAATAACTGCAGAAAAAACTGTGGTTTTCTGTTCTTCATTTAGATTGACTCTTTGTGTTTCTCTAATTTATGTTAATTCTTTTGGAGTCCCTAATATACTATGTTCATTGATCAGGGCCACATTTCCAGTAGATTTTACATGATTACACCTAACATAAGGGAAAAGAGCTTGAATTATGAGGCAAGATTTTTCTGAAATATGATTTGATTCACTGAACACTTATTTCTTCGGATTAAAAGAACTGAGAGTTGAATTCAGATTTGTGAGATGGCAGATGGGGATGATTTATAGACAGTAAGCATTGTGTTTTATTACAAACACTAAAATGGCACTATCCAATTGAAATGGCTACCCAAAGAAGATCAGGTCTTGCTATTTATAAAGATTTTTGCTTTTCCTAACTATTGAAGGATGTTAGTGCAATATATGGTTTTTCTGTCATTGAAGAATATTAGTCTTCCATGAGTCCTCTTATCTGGTGGCACACAGGGCAACCATTCATGCAAGCTGTTAGATGTTTGGGTTAGCCTGCTTAAATAATGTTTGAATCTGCCCTTTGATTGTATTTCCTCTTTAGTCTTTACCTCAACATATATCATAGTGTCTTACCAGATTCACAGTAGATCTGCCTCTTGGTAGCCTTGGAACCAGTAGAAATTTGGTTGTAGTAAAGAACATACTACCTAAGTATTTTTCAAAATGAACTCTTGAGTTTCACTAGAATTAAGGACAAACAGAAACTACATGGCAGAATAATGTGTGCGATGTGCAATATATTTACTCACAATAGATTTATGTCCACTTCTTAGTTTGGTGGTAGTTCATCAATGATTATATTTTGCCTATGCCTCTAGTCTCAGATTATATCACAGAATATGCTTAACGTGCCATAAAACTAAATATGACACTGAGATGTTTCTATATCCTTTGGTCCAGTCTATCCCTTTTTCTGGTCAACCTGAAAGCATCATTGTTCTTCAGACTAACTCACATACACAGAGCCCAAAAGAGAAATAAATACCATGATAAGCTTTTCAAGATATCATCTATATATCTAATAGTGAAGTGGCCCCGTCTGTGCGGATATCTAAATCCACACTTCGGGGCCACCTGGGGGGAGGGAGAGGTTTGTGCACATGTGGGGCAGTCCCCACGTGTGCACAAAAATCCTAAATCCTGGGGGGGAAATGGGGGGATGTTTAAATCCCCCCGAAACTCACAGAGCATCCCCTGTGCATGCGCAGGGAATGCTCTGCGACTGCTGCCGCCGCTTGGGAGGGAAGCAGCGAGCGGCGAGCAGGGAGAGGGGCAGAGCAACGAGGGCCAATAGGCTTGCCGATCGGCCCTCGGTTCGGAGCTGGGGGGGTGGGGAGAGAGAGAGAGTCGCGAGGCCCGGCGGCTCCACGCCGCGCAGGCCTTGCCTCAGAGCTGGTGAGGGGGGGAATAGAGAGGTGGAGAGAGAGAGAGAGAGAGAGAGAGAG